CCACATTTGGCCACAAGGGCCACATTTTGAGAGCAGATTCGCAAAAAAAACAAAAAGAGCTGGTAAATGGCCAAGCGAACAAACCTCGCCCGGTTTCGAGAGCCATGTGCCCAATCCGAGAGCCGGAATTGAGTGTCCGGACGAGAGGCGCAGCGACGGGGTGGCCATTCTGAAAATTTTTTGACTGTAGCACCGGGGAATTGAGAAATTTTGAAATTTAGAAATTCACAATGACCACCTCCCGGCAGAAAGCCGACACAAAAGATAGCATTGTTTACCCAGAATTCGAAAAAGATAAGCGATTTTCGAGGAGAGAAAGGACCGCTGACAATTTTTGAGAAATTGTAAGCACCTTTCGGGCGTGTGGAGATCTCTTTATTTCTCGGAAAATGGGAAATTGACGTGCACCGGAAGGCGTGCGTTTATCCTCGCAAGTACAAGGTACGCTCGTGAAGAGCCGGTCCAGTGACAAAGAGTTGCACTCAAAATGCTCCAATTTAAAGGGTAATCGTTTGAAAATGCCATGTGCGTTCCAGATTAACGGGATCCGACGTTTAAACCAATAGTCGCCTGCGTCAAACCTTAAAAACTCGTCTAGCGTTTTGGTTGCGGGTAGAACACGCGGAGGACGTAGTTGTACGAATTTGTAACGAAACTCGGCGATCAGTGGAGCTTTTGAGAAGCCGAGCGTTTATAGGTCCACAATTTCCCCAATTGCTCAGCGCGCAGGTGGTTCAGTGGTAGAATGCTCGCCTGCCACGCGGGCGACCCGGGTTCGGTTCCCGGCCTGCGCAAATCGTTTTTGTTTTTATCTAAAGGAAGCTGAAAGATGATTCCTAGACATCTAAATGGTACTTTTTAAAGTTTGCCTAATTTTAAATTAAACAAAAGGCAAAGAATGGTACTGAAAGCGTTTTGTGACAGGAAACATTGAGCTTTGAAGTGTAAGTGATCGATTGCAAGCAAAAACTGCATAAAAACGAAAAAGAAATTGTAAAAATGACCAAAGAGAGACACAAAATGGCCAAAACTGGGAAATGGAAAAGAGAAAAGGGAAACGGGGGGCAAAAAAGAAAGAAAAAAAACACAGACAGCTCGATAGCGATCTTTCCGTTTTCCCAGAGGCGATCGCGAAAAGAGAATTGAATCGGGAAAAGGAAAAGATTGCAAGAATTGCACCATAATTGACTTTATTGACTCGTTATTCTGTTCCAGAGCTGAAACTTTGCCAATAAGTCCAGTCGAAACCGAAAACGAAAGCCGCTGCTATCCTCGACGATCAAAAACAAAATAGAGATTTCATTTTCAAAAGTGATAAATTGTTGAAGTTATTGTTCGGCTTTTCTACCGTAACCCCGCTCTAACGGATAATTCTAACGTAATTCTAATTCTAACGGAAACCTTGTGCTGCTAAAAAGCTTGGATTCGGGGAGTGGGACAAATGCGACCTTTTTTTTTGCGCACCCGGACATTTGCGCACCTTTTTTTCCGCACTTAGCCCATTAGCGCACCTTTTTTTCGCGTTTTAAAAAAGCTCTAAAAAGCTAATATTAACCAATTTCTATTCCAAAAGTTGTTTTTCTAGGTAATTTTAGGGCGTAGAATCGAAATTTTGACATATCAGAGCTTGTGGAAACAAACGGACGGAGTTATACAAAGAGAAAGATCGACAATTTTCTGTAATTTGATCTAGCCGGCTAGTTTTGACCTAGTTTTGTCTTTCAAATTGGTTCCACAAGCTCTGATATGTCAAAATTTGATTTCGACACCCTCAAATTACCTAGAAAAACAACATTTGGAATAGAAATTGGTTAATATTAGCTTTTTAGAGCTTTTTTAAAACGCGAAAAAAGGTGCGCTAATGGGCAAGGTGCGGAAAAAAAGGTGCGCAAATGTCCGGGTGCGCAAAAAAAAGTCGCATTTGTCCCACTCCCTGGATTCGCTCAAAATCCCGATTTTACTCTTAAATTTTTATTATCAAGTCGAATCTCACAAAAAACAGGGAAGAATGAATTGAAAGAAACGAGAAGACGAGGGGAAGAGAGGGGGGAAAGGCCCTCAAAAGAAAAAAACGAAGAAATGAAGTGAACGAGCGAGTGAGATGGATGAATGGCACAAATATCTACAAGCGAATCAAACAAAAGAGAGAAACGAGGCACATTCATTCATTCATTTAAGTTGAAAGCGATGAGGAAACGACGAGAATCCTATGCGAGTTGCTTCTCCATCTTTTCGACAACGGCGAGGATCTGAAAACGAGAAAAATGAACAAATTTCAAAGAATTCAATATGAATTTATCACCAAAATTCCAAAATTTTAGGTATCAGAAAATACTAGATTAGGAGCGCTATCCTTTGACACCCAAGCGCACACTGTAGCATAAAGCAGTGCGGAGAACGAAGCGTGCAAAGTTAGACTAATAAATTTTTATCGAAAACTAGCGTATCTTTATCTAAGTTAATTCCGGAAATCTACTTTTCCTTGCCAATTCCTTCACGTCTTTATTACAACTTATAGTTAGCTTCCATTAACGTTTTCCAGGAAAGACAAAACGACGGAAACTACAAGTTTTATGCAATTAAACTAGTGCTCGAGTTTAATTCAATGAGCGCTGGAAAAGTTTATGATGATTTCGAGATTGAGGACGTTTTTCTGGATGGGCATCTGTTTGCTGAGTAAGTGATGTCTCTTTGAATTGAATTTGGATTATTTATCCACCTACAACTTGTCTTGATCGATAGATACATAGATGAAGTCAAGTAGATTAAAAACAAGTATTTGGAACAATCAAATCTTTTTACAAAGCTCTTTTATCTTGTTTTATGAAAGACCCAAATGGATTTGAAGACGTTTTACTGCTTTTTTTCAAGAATTCGAATCACTTACTCACTTTTTATACGTTTTTTTCAGCTCGTAACCGATCCTAAACTCGTACTTAAATGATATTTAGAATTGTTGAAAACACGGCAAAAAAGATTGTGTTTATCGTACCCGATGGTGGCTTATTATTCAGGTTGGTCAGACACTCATTGTCAGTATTCAGTAGTTGAGCAATAAAACTTTAAGATACAAAACCTCAGCTCCCGAGTTCAAAGCCACAATTTCCGAGGTGTTCATCGATGACGGGGGGTTATTTTTAAGATGTTAAGCAGAATGAAATAGATGTTCATAAACAAATCTTCAGCGTTTCGTTGCCCTGTGCAACATGGCATTAACGGTGGTGTTGCAGCCGGTTGGTTGGAGAAAGGATTCGGATTCGAGAAAGCATATCCAAAGGTTAGTGCAGGTAGCCAATTTGCCGCGAATAATCTAAAAGGTGCGCTTGCTAAAGCCAATAATCTATAAGGTGCGCTTGCTAACAAGCTACCGTAGTCCGGTTGCTTTTAAAATAACCATAAAATGAGGCAGTCTAAAGATCTAAAGATGATCTGGATGATCTAAAGAATACAGAAGAGAAAATCTGTCTCTTAAAAAGCTTTTTCTTGTGATTACGGTCGCCTTGATGCTTTGATTTGTGATTTGAAAAGATTATCTCTGCTTTGTCTTGCCTTGCCTTTAGCCTAGCTTTGTCTACCGTAACCTTTCCAAAAAAAGTTACCTTTTTCCCTCTTTTACAGCTATAGCAGAACCAATTTTGCAGCACTGCGGTCAAGATCAGACGGTCAAGATCAGTGGGCATGGTGTGCAGTTGGAAAAGCTATTCAGGGAAAACACCAATCTAGCTCACGTTACAGGGCACTTTGGGTGATGAAGATCGCTTTTATCTCAAGGATTTCACCAAGAATGAGAACAGGGAGTGGGTTTGGAGCATCTTTTTTATTATGAACAAGAACAAGAACTTTAGAAAAGAGTTCAGAACTCAATAAATTTCCACGAGATATCTACAGGGTGCGTCACAATTATTGCAACAAGATACCCAAGGCATTGCAGACCAAGAAGTTTCACTGGAAGAAGATTTTTAAACAGAAATAGCTTTATTTAACAGTAACAATTAAGGAAACAAGAGATCATTCGATATGGCCGCCTTTTGCCTTGAAAGCAGCCCTTAATCGGTTCGGATATGCCTCCACTGCGGCCCGAATGTCATCTTGAGGAGTCACCTTCCATCCTTTGGTCAAAGACTTCTTCAAGGTCAAAGAGCAGACATTAGCCTCTAAGATTGCCCAAATGGAAAAGTCCATCACATTGAGATCCGGTGAGTTTGGAGGCCATTCATCCTTGGTGATCACTGAGGGAAAGTTGGCCACACACCAGTCCTGAACCGTCTTTTTCGTGTGAGGGGGAGCTCCATCTTGCATGAAGGTCCAATTTTGATTGTTATTGGCTTTACACGCCCATGACATGCCCGTTTTCCTGTTTGGAAAACGGTCTTTGAACTCTTGTTGCAATAATTATGACGCACCCTGTATATTTCAGTGTGGCTTTACTGTCCGACAAGCCGACTACGGTAAAGCATCCACCGAGTCAAAAAACGACTCTCTACTTCGTTTGGATCGGCTCATTCGAATAGGAATCGCCATTTCAATATCAGTTACACTTTCGATCCAAAACTTCGCTTTGACCAATAAATTTTGAATCTCAGCGTGTATTTACTATGGAAACACATCCTTTCTGGTGCACTGAATTCTTTGATTTTCCCCCAGAAACACAAATCATTGCGCCAGAAAGGGTGCGTTTATGGATTCGAGCACAAAGTAGACTTTCATTCCACAGCGAGACCACAACAAGTAAAAACTTGTAATCGTTGGTCATGTGGCACACCGTAAACTCGGTTAACCTGGCTTTCAGCTTGCATTTCCCAATCCTCCTGGTTCTCATGGTTCAAATACGCAACTCTATACAGATTTGAAATCAAACCACTCATGAAGATCATTATAAAGAAGAACATTTGAGCGAAAGCTTTATTGCCAAGTACCCGTTCTCAAAAAGTAATTAGTCAACAAAATCTAGAGAATCCAAGAAAATGACATTCAGAAACAAAATGATGTGGAGATTTTCAGCATTTGCCTTGCCGTTCAGCGATGACACGAGCTGGCAAGGGTCCACGAGAGATCAAATCCATCACGTAAAAGGCCCAATCTTGGAGATTAGTTGGCATCATCGACAGGGGATGCCAGCTGGAAATGGAAAGGATTTGATTCGTTTGGCAAATCAGGCACAGCGTTCTACTTGTCTAAAGAGACTTTCTAAATAGTGCTCTCGGAAAGGTACCGTCATCACTCTACTAAAAGATACCGTAATCCAGCTGACGTGATCTATAGCTGACGTGAATTAGAAAAAAGATGCCGTGATTTAACAACCAAACCACCGGCTATCGAAAGATACCGTAATCCCTTTACAGACAGATACCGTAATCCGATTACCGAAAGCTACCGTAATCAGTCATCTAAAAAAGGGCTACCGTATCCCAGCTGCCTTTTCAATTAAAGCCAGCGACGGTAGTTTTATTCTAAATTCTGGAGTTACAGTAGTTTTATTCGAAAGGTTACGGTATCCTTTATTTCAAAGCAAAGGTTTAAACTGAAAAAGGTGTAAAAACTCACACAAAAGCGGTGTCCCAGCCGACTTTGTAGCGCCGACGCGTGTAGAGCGATGTCACCGCTTTCACGTAGGCATCGGTCACTGAACTTTTGAAAATCACACTTCAGATCAGAAATTGGTTACGGAAGTTAAAAGTGGCTACAGTAATCTTTACAGCTATAGTATCTATGGTGCACTACAGTCTACAGTAATCTGCACACTACAGTGCCCATAGAACCTCGTTTAACATTACATTACTTTCAAAGTAACCCTACGGTTACTGTAACTCTTACTTTTCACCATAACTCTTTAAAAGCTTACCTTTCTCAGTTGTGTTCGACCCAAAACCGTTCATCATCATTGCCTGATTGTCGCACGCTAAATAGCAAAAAAAGTATTACGGTAACGGGTCCACAAAACGAACTCTTGTTAAAGAACTCCAATCCGTAGTCGGCTTTCAGTTCGTCACTGGCTCGATCCCATAACTGGAAAGAGAAATTATTGATCCAAGTTATCGCTCACTTTTTCATTTCCTTTTCTGATTCGATCGGTGTTTGTGAGTGGCGTTTTGACAAAGCCCGGCTCAACGGTCAATACCTCAATGCCCCACGGGGAAAGCTCTTTTCTGAACAATGGAAATTGTTCTATGTAAAGCTATAGAAAGAAGATTACAATAGAAATTACAATACTTACATAAGTAAGATTATGATACAATGAGCATTACGGTGCTCAAATAGTTGCACTACAGTAAGCTACTGTAAGACGCATACTAGGAAGTAACGTTGCAAGTAAGCTAGCAAGGGCAAGTAAGTAAGTAGTGCAAGTAAACTACAGTAAGGTCAAGTGATAAAGAGACTGTAATCTCGAAGCAGATCACGGTAATTGAAGATCTTTTGGACCTCGATAAAGTTAGTGGGCAATAGAAAACGATTACGGTAAAGGTAAAGCTTAATAAAAAGAGCAAAGACAAGCAAAACCTGATCGCATCGGTGTAAGCGGTGGCCGCGTATTTTGACACGAGATACGGTCCAATGCACGGAGTGGGACAACGACCGAAAGCCGAAGTCACGTTCACGATTCGACCTCTGCAAAGGGAAAAGGGTAAAAGAAGTTATCAATAAGATTAAAGAACTGTAAGGCTACAGTAAGACTACAATAAGACTCCACAGTAAAGTTAGCTACAGTAGCTACAGCAGAACCTGGCTTCAAAGATGTAAGAGTACTATCTCACATTCAGGCCAGTTAAGGCACAGTAAGACGCATTAAGACGTAATGTCTAGTGCGATACAGTAAGACTTGTAGCCAAGACTACTGTAATTACAGATCTAGAGATAATTATAACTTTTTACCGAAATTCTTACTTTTTTTGTTTGATGAGACGGCGAACACGGTGCACGACACGGATCATTCCATACAGATTCACCTCAAATGTCGATCGATAATCGTCGGGGGAGAGAAAATCGTCGAGGAACACGTTCAAGCCAACGCCCGCGTTGTTGATCACCGCCCAGAGGCCTAGAAAATGGGAAAATAGAAAAAAGAACTAGGCATACTTGAAAAATTAGCCACGATCACTTATCTACAGTATGCCTAAACACTCATCTCTATAGTAATCCACTCCCACTTATCCACTCCACTTAAAATACCTATCCAGCACTCAAAACTATCTTTTCAGTTATGGGATCGAGCCAGCGACGAACTGAAAGCCATTCAGCTTTCTAATCTTACGGTGATCTATTCAGTTCCAACTCTACAGTACTCTATCCAGCACTCAAAGCCACAGTAGTCCATTCAATAGCAAAACTACCGTACCCCCATACTGTTGACATTCTTTTTCGAGAAAAGCACCCATTTTGTCGACACTCTCATCGCTGGTGACATCGAGTTGGATGGGTGTCAATTTCACCGACGGGATTTTCGAGGCCTTCGTTTGAAGCTTGGTCATTCCCTGACAAGTAGAACTCATTGATTACTAGTTTTAGGCAATGAAAAGGTTTAAAAATGAAATTAATTATGTAATAACTTTTGCACCTCTTCAGTGAGACATCCCGCGTAGACAGGCACACCCATTTTCGCCAGACGCAGCGCCGAGTCGTGGCCGAAACCTGAAGAGGAAATTGAGTTGAAAATGGTTAAGTCTAGAGTTTAGGGCTTTACTAAATTCTCGGGAATTTTGCCAGTGTTTTTGTCCGCCGCTTCTTTTCCGCAGTTTTCTTTGCATTTTTCTTCTATTTCAACATGCTACTACACACATTTAACAAGGTTTTACATTTTAGTTACCTAAAATTACCTTAGTTACCTTAGTTATTTAGCAAATTGTTACAGTACTGGACAATGAAATATCATATTTGAAAAACGATCGTCACTTTCGCGCGCGCTGTAATGCGTCAAAAAATACGGTATTTCTAAATATTAACATTACCATTGTGTAGCCCTTGAAAAGAGCTTTCAGAAAATGTATATAGTTTAAACTCAAAGACGACGAAGTTACAGACGTGTGAACGTGACGAACGTTTTCAACGATGATATTTCATTGTCCAGTACTGTATATAGATAAGTTGGATTTTGACTCTTCTCAACTAAGCACTGAAAAACACGAATTTTCGAAAAAGTATTGACAATACTTAACGATGACATAGTAAAGTTATTGCTAAAAATCTCGAAATGAAATTCCCAAAATCTATTAGAGCCGAGTAATCTAGAATCTACAAGAAAAACCATAAAGATATTATTTGTTTTCAAAGATTTTCACTCTAGAACTCTAGAAAGCTTTGGAAAGTTTCTCATTCTCTTTTAAAAGAGCGTTTCCTAGCCATTAGCGAGTACGAAAAGCTCCGTTTCAAAGAAAAATGACGAAATTTCAAAGATTTTCTAAAATAGAAAGCTTTGAAGTTGAATAGTTTTATTATAAATTCCTAGTTTTACGTCTCTGTACAGTTTGACATCTAGCTTTAAACATTTTACGTCAAAAATAAAAAGATATTCAGTCTTGCGGAAGCTTTGATGTATTTTGTGCTTAAATTTGTAAACGCACTCTTTTTGACGCCTCAATTCTCCCCTTTCTCACACAAAACAACGCGAAAAGACGAAGAAACGAGTGCACCAGATGGAGTTTCTTTACAAGTTTTGAGTTTAAAGTAGGGTTCGGCAAACAAAACCAAAACCAAAAAGCAAAACACCAAAACAAACCAAAACTCAATTTGCATATAAATTAACATGTAAATTTAAAATTGTAAAATGCAAATGCAAAAATACAAATGCAAATTTAACAATGAATAAATCGATACTTTGATGGTTGGGAGGGGCCACTTTTGGTTCACTTAATCATTCTAATGTTTTGACTAATGTTTTGAGCGATTTGTGCCAATACTTTTCTTCTATTCTGAAGAAAGAGATATGCTGAAGTGATTAATGCAAATGTAAGCACGTTTTCGATAATCCTATTGGATGATTTAGATTTGCCATTCACTTTTTCTCACTCCACAAAATCGCGCGGCCGAAAAAAAGGACCAAAACACGACCTCGAAATTTCGAAACAAAAAATAGCCTATGGGATAGATTTTTGGATGCTGATTTCAAATCTGCAAACAGATTTTCGCTAGCTCCTCCCAGTCGCGAGATATTGGCGAGTTTTGGTTAGTTTTGGTTTTGGTTTTGTTTTGGTTTTTTGGTTTTGTTATGGTTTTGGTTTTGGTTAAGTTTTGTTTTCCGAAGTCTAGTTTAAAGTAAATCAAAAGTAGACTAAAGAGGAAAATAGACAAAATGTGTACCTGTATCACATCCAGTGACGAGAATGGGTCGTCTCCACAATTCGCCGATCACATCGCTTTCCCATCGTTGACGAACGAAAATGAAAGTGAGCCACGAGAGCACACAAATCACCAAGAATATCCACATTTTGATGAAAAGAAAAAGAAGAAATGAAGCGAGTAGGGGATAGAGAAATAGGCTTTAGAGAATAGCGAAAAATCGAGAATGAGAGAACGTTATTTATTTGAGGATTAAATGGTAATTTGAGAGCTTTAAATGCAAATTGTTTTCCAATGTTAAATGTAAATTTTGATCTCTCAAATCAAATTCAGTGTTCAGGTGTTCAAAATTTCCGCTTTGCTTCCCAGAAATTATCTCTATCAGCTAAATTTTGTCAACTAAAACACCAAATGAAGCTTTCTTCTGAGGTCTTTGTCAGTTTACTGATAACAGACTCGTTGAATTCAATGAAATAACTTTTCTTTTTCGAATCTGACTCTATCTAAAGCTCTGTGGAATTTTTGAAAATGAAATTTTTCAAAAACAATTATAACTCCATAAAATTTAGGATTTTATCTCAATTAACGGCTGAAGTTTGCATTTTACAAGTTCACAACTATTCTTTATGTGGATCTACTATATATAAAGCAGAAGAGACGTCTGTCCGTCGGTCCATCTGTGCGCAGCCAAAAAGGGCGGGGCTTAGATTGCGTGGGAAACGTGGACCCTCCGAGTGGAAAACGCGAACGTTAGTCAGCGTTTTCCTCTGGGGATAGACGGACGGACAAACGGACAAATGGACAGATAAACGGACAAATGGACGGAAGGACAAACGGACAAACGGACGGACAAACGGACGGACGGACGGACGGACAAATGGACGGACAAACGGGCAAACGGCCAAACGGACGGACAAATGGACGGACAAACGGGCAAACGGACGGGCAAACGGACGGACGGACGGACAAATGGACGGACAAACGGGCAAACGGACGGGCAAACGGACAAACGGACGGACAAATGGACGAACAAACGGACAAACGGACGGAAAATGAACGGATAAACGGACAAACGGACGGAAGGACAAATGGACGAACAAACGGACAAATGGACGAACAAACGGACAAACGAGCGGACAAATGAACGGATAAACGGACAAACGGACGGAAGGACAAACGGACGGAAGGACAAACGGACGGAAGGACAAACGGACGGAAGGACAAACGGACGGAAGGACAAACGGACGGAAGGACAAACGGACGGAAGGACAAACGGACGGAAGGACAAACGGACAAACCGACGGACAAATGGACGGATAAACGGACAAACGGACGGAAGGACAAACGGACAAACCGACGGACAAACAAACGGACAAACAAACGAAAGGACAAACGGACGGACGAACAAACGGACAGACGGATCAAAACTCATGGAAAATCTCAAATTTTCGATCTTGATTTGGTGATGGAAAGCCGATAAAGAAAAGCCTCAATCGGTCATCTCCGTGACCTCTCAACGTGATGTTCGTGAAGAGATTGGAAATTTGATTTTTTTAAAACTGTAATCCTTTCAATTAAATTCAGACTTTCTCTTTTCATTTCCATCTCTTATATAGAGTTCATCTCCATCAGCTAGCGATCCACGAGAAGCAAAATTGATGGTGGAATTGCGAGCGACGAGTTTCCAGCTACATACAAAACCGACTCCAAGGTTCTCACCGCAAAGCTAAAATTTGCTGGTTTGAGATTCTCTTTATCGTAAATATTACCCTTTTTTCAATCAACGAACCATTAGCCATTGTCATTTTACTTTTGGGTAAATGAACTCCAGTGAGTAGAGAATTGAACGTGACTCTGAGGGTCTCCAATTCTTCATCACATCCACTTCACACTTGAGTGTTCAAGGAAACAATGCCGAGTTCAAGAAATGGATGATCAAAGTGGACAATGGAAAAGTGGAAGCCGATCAACAAGGAGATAGCACGATTCCCATTCCTATGATGGTGATTTGGGAGATCTTTCGCCAAGCTTTTGCCGATGATGGTCGTTTGGATCTTTCTTAGGTCGCTACTCTACTTAGGACGCTACTTAGGACGACTTTTCCTCGACGGCTTCCACTTTTCCATTGTCCACTTTGATCATCAAATTACGGAAATCTCGACGAATTGCTCAGGGTTTTGCTGAGAAAACTGAATTTTGTGCAAAATTTTCATATCGAGGGGGTTAGGGCGAGATATTTGAACATAATCTGTAAAGAATTTCGTTTTAAATGTGATGTGATGTGATGAAGAATTGGAGACCCTCAGAGTCACGTTCAATTCTCTACTCATTGGAGTTGAATTACCCAAAAGTAAAATGACAACGGGTTAATGATTAGTTGATTGAAAAAAGGGTAATATTTCGGATAAACAGAATCTCAAACTAGCCAATTTTAGCTTTGCGGTGAGAACCTTGGAGTCGGTTTTGTATGTAGCTGGAAACTCGTCGCTCGCAATTCCACCATCAATTTCGCTTCTCGTGGATCGCTAGCTGATGGAGATGAACTCTATATAAGAGATGGAAATGAAAAGAGAAAGTTTGAATTTAATTGAAAGGATTACAGTTTTAAAAAAATCAAATTTAGTGTGCGAATGTTCTCCAATCTCTTCACGAACATCAC